CCGCCCCCACGCCCATCCCCCCCACGCCCGCACCGACCGTGCGACGGGCGGGTCCCATCGCCGTCGACCCTCGGTCTGAGGCCATGGGACCTTGGCTGTCTCGGTGAAGGGCGGTCCAGGCGAAGACGTGGAAATCTCCACCCTGGGCCCTGGACAAGTGGTCGGCCTGTGACCTGACATGATGACAGGAACATACAGGAACGATGACAGGCGAGATGGAGCAGAGCCCCGCAGAGCCCCTTTGTTGGTCGTTGTTTGCTTTTTCTCCGAGTTCGGTCCTGGCCCATTGATATAAGGGGTTGACAAGGGGTTGGACCGAAGAGCCAGTTCTACAAAGGTTTTTAGACTATAGAAACCAGGGCAACCTTTCTTTTGATGGTCTTGGAAGGCTAGGGGTAGTTATATTTATTATATATTTGTAAATGTTTGGGTGGAAATCTTCGCTTCGAAGTATTTGTGGGTAGGTCAGATGTTGGGACTTCTCAGCGGACTTCTGTCGGGGGTGTTTGTGTGTTTAAACTTGTCCTCACGTCCGGACGTGGAACACACATCCAAATCCCCCACGTCCTTGATCAGAGTTCGTTTGACGCAGCAAAATCCCCACAACGAACTATGATTGGTCTACATGTCTTGTGGGTTCTGGTCAGATGGGTTTCTCCGTTGTGAAACCAGCGGTGAATGAACGAGGAAGACTGGGCCAGAGGTGCGTGGAGGAGGGGCTCAACTTTAGACACCTGACAATGGTGGGTTCTGCTGGTTTCAAGTTCAATCTTCCCTGCCGGGGAGGTTTTTTGGATGGATTTTTCCACCCACAACTGCATTGGTCGGTGGTTTTGTTGCCGAGATATTTTTGCATGTTTGGAACCCGAAACCTCGCCTTACAGGGGGGGAGGAGTACGGTTTCGAACCGGTTTCGACGTGGTGTTACCGGGGGGAAGAAGCTCGTTGGTAGCCCCTGTGGCCCTCCGCAGTGGAGTGATCAAAGCGGACAGAGGACACAAAGGCCTAGGGCCAAAAGAGTTCTATAGGCATTGGACAATGTACAAATGGTTTGTGTAACACTTTGGGACTTTGAGATGTGTGTATGGAGGTCCTTTCATGGGGCACCAAGATCCTTCACAGTTTGATGAATTTGAAAGGGATGATGAGGGCTTAGTCACACACATTCGTAGTAGCGGACCGAAAGTGTTCCCTCAGTAGCTTTGCAGCAGCAGGTTCGTTGGAGCTTCGTTTTTGGTTTGTGGCTTTTCGTGACACCATCAATTCCAGACACGACCCATGGGACTGCCAAAAATGCATACATTGACCCCCCAAACCACCCCAATGTACGTACATATGGCAGTCCCATGGGTCGTGTTTGGGAATTGCATATTTCCCCTATGGGATTCACGGTGAGATCGATTTGTTCAACCGCCATTGACCATTCTTCCTCGACTCCGGTGTGACTCCTGTACCGCCCAGGTACACCATGCTGAAGGGTACCAATGCCAGTGCCAGTGTCACCGTGACCTCAGAGTTCGCATACATCTTGGAGCTCCGACACAGCCACTCAGCGGACCTGGTGGAAGCGAGGTGAGACGGACCTGGTGGTTTGGGGTGACCTTTGACTCAAATGACTCCCAATGTCAGTTATTTTATGAGATCGTCACATGGCTGAAGCATCCTGAAGCTTTCCCATGCGTTCATCCTGTTTGGTCTTCATTCATGTTTATCGTAAGCTGACTGGGTTTCGAGATGCTCTTTCTGTCTCTCTCTCTCTCTCTCTTTCTCTTTTGCTGATGAGATGCTCTTGCTTCAGGTCATTTCCAAGCCTCCTTGGAGGGAGAGCCCTCGGTGAAGCACCGCATGCAAGTGATCCTAGAACAGCGTGAAGCTCAGCCACTTGGAAGAACGCAGTGCCACAGTGCCATGCAGTGGTTCTGTAGGTCGATGTTAGCTCCTAATAGCGATGGCCTCCAAACCTAATATATCCATTAGTTTCTATAATTGGGATCCACATGGATCCGGATTTCTCGTCCAATTTCTGTTTCCCCGGCTGGCAGATCACCTCAGATCACCGTCGCGTTTCTTGAAAACGTCTTGTTTGGCCTTTTCTCTTGCATGAAGAGATGGAGTCCAGCCAACCGCCGAGGGTGGCCAAAACATCTATTTGGTGATTTCGGAGTAGGAGTTGGAGCAATCGAAAAGCACTCTCAGAGTGCAGGATAGGGGACAAGGCAAAGAAAAGGTGAGTGGAAAGGTGAGCAGAAAGCAATTCAACGGTGATGTGATTGACATATTTGGATAGCCAAAAGCAAGAGGAAAGCAAACAAAAAGTGACCAAAATGTGATCAAACAGCAATCCAGAATCGAAACCTTAATATCTTTACTTTGAACTTCCCACCAAGATATGACTTGTCGTTTCGGGAGGCGTTTCACAATATTTTGCTATTTGCTCACTATGTTCTTGCTATTTGCTCACTATTTTCCTGTCTGTGCTTTGCTTTCCTATGTCTCCATAATCGCTTTCTGATTGCTTTTTCTCCACATGTTGCATGAACGCCCCAACCTATGTTCACAATTTTCTTGCTGAGTTCCTTACTCAGGACCTCACAAATTACGTAATCTAAATTTCCGGTGGTTGCCTGTCGGCGCAAGTCATAGCTCTTGCAAAATCTCCCGGGACTGTTCCATGCCAGTCCTTTCTCAGAATGCTCCATGCAATGTGATTTGGGATCCATTCACGGGCCAATCTCTGCCATGCTTCCTCTGCCAGTTCACGCCTGTGTCGTCTCGTCCTCGTGGCTGGAGCGTGACTCTAGTCAAACGCTGTCAAACGCTATCATACGATGTCACCAGCGATTGGTTGGACCAGTGGGAGTCTGGTGGGGGTGGAAGTTCGAAGATCGAAAGCCGGTGTACCGCACTGGTCGCTCCGACCGGTGTACCGTTCCATCTCGCCTACCGCGTGCGCACGTCGAACCACAGCTGGGAGGTTCAGAGGTCGATTGGCGGTCGAAACCGGGGAGACCCTGCGTTTGTCCCAGGAAACGGGGCACCAGAATAGACGACCAGACATGGTCAACTATACCACAAATCGGGGCTCCAGGCGTTGAATCACAGCCATGTGTTTTTTTATCAGGGAATCCGCATCGTACAATGCTCTGGGGCTTGTATTGGCTCGTGCCATCTAAAATTGAAGCCACGTTTGATGCTTTATCACTCGCTCACTTTTGCGACCTTCAGGCATTCCGAAAACGGGCCTTGGCCGGCCTTCCCGCCCAATTGTTCCAAACAAAGAGATGTGATGTACATGGTGTAACCGTGCACACGGAAGCAACAAACCGTTGACTCCTGGATACTCCTCATGCCATCTCATGCCCCTCTGGTGCTTTTGTTTGATAGCCCAAGAACACCTTCGAAGGGTCGGACTGTCGGACTGAGGAATAAAGCGGCTGAGATGGTGCAGAAGAAAACCATTCGAGAGGTTTGATGGCTGCCCATCCCCCCATCATCTCCCCAAACTGTCCCATGGGTCCCATACTCTAAAATTCCTAAACCCTCCATCCATCCTGGTGGCTTTGGGGGATCCGACATTTCTAGACTCCAAAGTGCCAAGGGATTGACCCCCCCCTCAGGCGGGGGCGTGAAGAGGTCCTCAGTCAGGCCCGACCTCACGGGGTTTTTGCGGAACTGGCTGCGGAATACGGAATGCACAACACATACTCGTCGGGAGGAGAACAATGAGGACACCGATCCTTTCAGATCGATCCATGGGATGAAGGTGTTGTAGTGATCTTGAGTGTTCTTTCCCAGCCATGGAAACTAAGATGGCTCAAGAATAGAGAGTTTTCGCAGGTTTGGATGATTTGGATGTTTTGCCACAGCTATATCTAAAATACCTGTGATTACCTGTGTGTGTTAAATATACTCTTGGAGACGGCCAAACGGCATCAAACAGAGATTCGGTATGTTCCAAAACAGGATTGGTTTTTATGGGCATGTTTGTTGCCTCAGCCTCCTTGAAGGAAGCGGTAGCACCAGCCTGCCAGCCGTAGCTTCGCGTAGCGCTAGCGCCCAGCGACCTCGACCTTGCAAGAACGAGGATCCAGGATTCCCGGAGCAACCATTCTTCAGATATAGAGAGAGTCACCTGAACAGCTGTTTTGGGTTTTACCCAGACGCTCCAAACAGCTCTTGGTCCCTCAAAACCTGGGGATTTGAGACCCCAGACCCCTCCATATGAGGGTCCGACCCCTCCATATGAGGGTCCATGAGCGTCTGGGTAGGATGTGACAGATGCGTCTGACGGGTTGTCTTTGTTACTTCATGGAAGCGCGAATTCCCTGTGAAGCGCAGCCAAAATTGACAAAGCACATCTAGCTTTGCTTTTCGACGGTCAGGGAATCCAGACCGCAGGGTGAGCTTTTTCCGCCTCCTGTTCCGTGACGCTGCTCGCTGCTCGTTCCGCGGTAGAAAGGAATAGTTGATGGGGCGTTCTTCGATCTATCAGACAAGCTTGATGCGGAGCTTGGTTGTTTTGTGGTGGATGGTGAAGTCCTTGTGTCCCACATTTCTCCGAAGCTAGGCTGCCATGAAAGAACAATCACATCATTATAGTCTACCAGCACCGAACCCAACAGGTCTCCTTTGGAAGGTTGTTCGGCCCTAACAGGTTTCAATTGGTGACCTGCTGGAGGTGCTGGTATAATATTCTAATTATCAGCTGGTACCATGTGTGCATCCACCAGCGAAACAGAAGGCGCACTCGTGAATCGAGCTCGTGTCAATTTTTCAACTGACCCGAGGACCTGCGTCGAGACATCAGTTAATCAGCTGAAGAAAAGGAGCGAAAGGCTGGATGAGCCGAATTGATCATGGATCGGCTCCGGCATTTTGGAAGGTTTGGGACGCAATCCTACCTGTGAGATCCTGCCAGTAGAGTAGAGGTATAGCATGGTAGAGCATTTCTCATCAGACTCATCGCTGCTTGCACATCAGCATTCCTGGGACCCTGGCTGTTTGGCTCAAGTTATAGAAGACCTGAGACTTTTTCAAGGGGTCAATTTTCAAGCTCGGCCCCCATGACTGAGCCAAGCCTCATGGAGGATCCATGCGCAATGGATAGTTTCATGGCTGAAAAAGACGTGGAAGACAAGCTGAAGACGAGCTGGGCGGGGGGGAAAAACACCTGCTTCGATGCGATGCGAGTCGCATCGAAGATGCGGGTCGTACAAGGGTTGATGAGCGAACGCAAGAACGAGCCTTGATGGATGTGAAAGCGCAGGCTTTCAGGGGTTCCCCCGTCGTTCGCGATGCTGACCTCTTCTGGCCACAGGTTCTTCTGTCTGGGTCCGACTCATGTTCCAAGTGGATGGCATGGATGACACGAATTCCTCATTTTTCCTCATACAGGGTCTTGCCATTTTGAGTTCCGTCTTGCAAATTGATGTGATCAGCTACAACTTCACAACAGACACACCTGGAGCCTCACCGAAGGCAGGGGCTGACAGCAAGACATCTGGCAATACTCAAGACGAAACCATTCTAGCCTTGACGATGGGTATATGGCATGGTTCTGGACTCATGCCCCAGTGGTTTCTTGCTTCCTTTGGAGGCTGGTGACTGCTGTACCAAAGCTGGGCAGTTGGGGGGGCTCGCGGCAACTGACTTCCAATGATTCAGTCGCAAACTTAATGCAAGTCTAGGGTGGAGGCCATCGCTACTAGGGTGGAGGCCATCGCTATTAGGTTGGAGGCCATTGCTTATATATATATTTTAATATTTGGGAGTATATAATTATGCTCACGTCCACCGTGAACCTCATGTCCATCAAGAAAGTTGGCCGCCCCAAAAAGTGATATGCGATCTCAGGAGAGGTTCAGGAGGTTTTGACATCACCAGTTCACGTTGGCCAAAGCCCCCCAAATCTGACAGTGCCATCCATGCATCCACGAGGTGTCGGCGACTCAGGTTGGGCGGCTCTACATCTTCCGTCCATCGAGCTTCTCCTCAGCGCATCGAGTGATGTTTTTGAGGACCGATTCAGTCAATCACCCAGTGTACAGAGCTCCCAGATGTCATTCTAAGACATTCTAAGTTGCCAGTTGAGAGGCCAGAGATGTCAACGGTCCATCCTGCATGCGGTCAATCACCCCATGTCTGATCAGAGCTGCTGGTGGGACTAGTCGAGTTCAACCAACACCCTTTTCAAGTCTTTTCACGACCGGTGGGACAGACGTGATGTGACTTGGTAGGTCGTCACCATGTCGGCGTCACAAGTCCGAATGCCGAACGATGCCGTTCGAACGAACGGAAGGGTGAAGTCGGGGGTGCCATTTGTCAAGCATCCCACCGGCCCCTGGGCTGGGATTGAACACCATCCCGAGCTCTGTGACTCCTGGCAGGCAGCCTGGCAGGTGTTCTTTGTTCGAGCATTTTGGGTCGATACAGGTATCCCCTCTCCCCCCCCGCCCTGGTCAGGTGGAGAGGACCTCTGGGTGGCGTTGGACGCCTGTGTTGGACGCTTTCGGGACCCTCAAAGACCCCAACATTCACGGTGCCTCTCAGTGTAAAAGCAGGTCTTCCGACGAATCCGGTGGAATTCGGCCAGGCGGCCAGGCACAGGGGCTCCGCAGACTTGGGGTATACACCATCCGCCCACTCTGCAGATGATCTCCGACTTTTCAGGGTGAAGACCGACCGTTTTGGGGAGTATTTCTTCGCTGAATTTGGTCGCCTGCGCAGGAGCTGAAGGTTCTTCACTGCAAAGAGGTAGTCGCTGACAGCTGTGCATATGTGTGCATAAAGACTTTCACACCGAACCGTGGACACTTTCACCTCCAGGATTACCCTTTCGCATCGTCGATCAATTCACGCACGACGTGCACGATGGACACCCCTTTGTCGCGAGGACCGACGATCGACAGGAGCGGGGGCGTTGGACCGACGATGGTGGTCCGGAGGGTGTTTCTGCAAAAACCACCTGTATGTGCTCAGTGCTGCTTGGACCAATCTGTTGAACCTGGTTTTGTGGATGTTTTTTGAATCTTATATGAGTAAATCCCCTGTCATGGGGAAGAGTTGTTTTTTCTGGTCCCTTAAGCACATCCAAGTGAATGTCACCCTGAATGAAGACCAGAAGTGGAAGGAACTCGCAAGCTAGAACAGTCCAACTGGATGATGTTTGGCTTCTTCAAGGATCTTCAGGGCAGTCCTTCGACTCCACAAGTTGTTTTTGTTGTTTTTTGTCAACTGCACAGCACACAAATCCTCTGTGCATCACTGCCTCCCCATGTTCTTCCTGTGCAAAGGTTGGTTTCTCTTCTTGGTGTTGCATCGCCCGCGCACGGACGTGGTGTCCGTCGGACTTCTTCGGCCTTTTCGGACGCATCAATCACTGCTGATGGCACCAGGAATCGGAGATTCCAGAGGATCCTTCTTCCAATCTGTTCTGACCCTCAGCTGCGTTTGAGCCGCGGCCGAGCCTTTTTTCTTTTGCCGGCCTTCCTTTTTGGGCTCCGTGGACGGGACGGCCTCGGCCCTTCGTTGTGACGCGGCCAGCCCCCAGCTGGTTTGTTCAAGTGATCCGAGAACTAGCTGCCCAAATTGGTATGGTTGTGAAGAAGTGTAGCTATTTTCTGAGATAGATGTTTTACAATTTGCATACCGACCTACACCAGAAGCGTGCACATTTGCATCCGCATGGTTGAATTCATTCAGCTTTGGGTAGCAGGTACGAGAGGCTGTATTCCATGGTTATACCATTGTTTTACCCTTATAGGCCCTCCAGCCAGGGCCCTCCGGATCTTCACCCAAAACGCCGGGGTCGGACCCTCGATGCGGAGTCGATGCACCGGACCTAATGGAATCGATGCGTATGGTCGGAGGCCATCACGCCATTCGGTTGGAGGCCATATTCGGTTGGAGATGTTGGAGGCCATTGCAATTAGTAACTCATAGTAACTCAAAAGAAGATGGCTATTAAGGATTCTTTTAAAAGCCTATGGCCCGTCCTGATGCCCCGATTGGGTTATTAGCTGCATTCAGAAAAAGAAAACCGATCAGGTAACCGGATTGTGTCCGGATGCCCGACCCGGATTCTGAGGGGTGATGTTTTGGTCGGACAGAGCTCTGGTGTATTCCTTGGACCTTCCCCCCGACCCAGCGACGGGCTTGAGCGCCAGCTTTTTCGGTCGGCGCCACGGGTGACGTTGGGTTCCAGACATGAGCCATTTGGACTGGAAGAGTTACCGATGAACCCCTGAAAACAACCACCCCCCATATTTTATATTGATTCATAGTGCTGGACAAAACAACCACCCCGGGCCCCATATATTTTATATGGATTCATAGTGCTGGACCCTCCAGTCGGTTCATGGACACCCCTTGACCTTGACCTCGGGACTATTCATGGACACCCGAATCCGTGGTGCTAGTAGAGGAATGTGTTTGGGAGACTGTCGATTCTTATTTTGTTTCTAATTCCGATGGCCTCCACCCTAAGAGCGATGGCCTCCGACCTACTAGCGGATGGCCTCCAACTTCTAGCGGATGTGTCTGAGTACATGACCTCAGTGGGGTGATTCGGACTCCCACTGGGCTTGGAGCAAGAACCAGGCACTCGGACTCCCAAGGCACTCCAGGCACTCGAAAACCGGACGCAGGGACCGTCTTTTTGTTGGACGTTGCGGGGGAGGGACAGCGATATTCTTGTTTGTTCCCCCAGGAATGCGGAGCCTTTTTCTCCAGGCCACGGACGGGAAGAAAGCTTCTGCTTCGTTCTGCTGAAGGGGGAAACCCGCAAAGGGGTTTCTGCGAGTTCCAGAGGTTTCAGCATGGAACTAAGATGGACAGTATGTAAACAAGCCTTTAGGAAGCAAATCCGAGAACCTGATGAGTGTCCGATGTGTTTTTTGATTTCCCCCTCCAGGATGATTACCGTACAATGTCACTGTTTCATACTGTTCTATTGTGTCCTTCTGCTAGGATTGGTGGGGCTCGGAGTTTTACTGATGGAACCCCTGGCTTTCACTTGCTTGCTCCTGGCGGCTGGCACTCTTCGACCCAGTTTGGGGCCAGTCAAAAAAGACGCATGAAAGTCTTTGAACCATCACATCATATCACATCTACCAGCACCACGGATTCCGGGTGTCCATGAATAGTCCCTAAAAGAGGTGAAGGGGTGTCCATCGACCATCCCTTGGGGAAACCTGATGGAACCTGGTACATGATATCTACATGATGCCCGCGATGAACTATGACTGATGTATTTCAGCCAGGCCGGGCACAGCAACCGGAGGACGATCTGAAGCGCTTCGCCGTCCGCACGAGATGTGATGGCGCTTGGCCGGACAACATAGAGATGTGATGGACCGACGGGGAATTCCTAGCAACCCAATTAAGAAGCCACCCAGATGCGAGCCTGGCCCTCATATTATGGAGGGGTCGGACCCGAATCCCCTAAAAAGGTCTGGGGTCGAACCAATCTCTAGGTTTTGAGGGACCAAGGGCTGTTTGGAGCGTTTGGGCAGGGCCTTTTTAAGGTATATATGACTTGGTCCCAAAAGTTAGACTTCCTTACAACGCAACTATTTAGGATTCGGGGCAAAGCAACGCCTGAAACCTCGACGAGCATTATCGATTAGACTTTTCAAATCAACATGAGATCAAGCAGCCAAATGTTCTGCCACGGGATTGGAGGAATTCGAAGCCATTGCATGTGTGAAACACATTCAGTCATGTTATGCAACAAATTGTTTGCCGTTTGGGTGCCAAACATGTTTGGAACATTTGTCGTGATATATGAGTTATATGAGTTTCAGCAGGAAACCATCCATCTCCTGCTGGAGCGGGGACCTTCAGTCAGCAGGACCTGTGCTTTGGACTGCAACTTCGCGAAGGCTTGGAAGATCTCTACAAACGACCGGCCCGCAGGGGCACTCAGGGCACCATCCGACAAAGGACAACGATCACACGTATGAAGGTTTTGGAACATGTCAAACCCCTAGGGCTCCAACCACTTGAGAAGGTGGTTGGGGTGGGTTTTGGGGGTCTAACCACCTGAGGATATGGTTGGAGCCCTAGGGAACTTAGGATACCACTGGATGTTGACCGAAATTTTCGAGGACGGCCTCTTGAAGTGACACCATGTTCGGGGGGCCTCGATCGGTGTCAGAAGAACTCACTCCTCCTCTTCGATCGTGAACACCTCCACTTCCTCTTGGGCGGTTTTGAAGTGCCAGGTGACCAGAGGACCGGAGTCATTTCACGTAGCACCAACATCTTGTGGTATACCAGGACCCTCCAAGTGGTGCCCTGTCTGGAAGCCTATAGGTAGTGTGGGGTATATGGTCCATTGGACACCCCTTGCAATTTCCAGGTTTATATATTATTGATTGTATTTGACTGTCAGATGTGATGATCTTCCGGATCATCCCTTACATTTACATGTCATGTCACCACGCAGTCATTGAAAACTCCAAGCTCGGTTTCGGGGCGTGCTGGCGGACCTTGAAGGTCAGGCAGGAGCTTTCTGGTCGGAGAGCACACACCCATCCCCATGCGTGCGCCAACAACATTCTGCATGTATTCTGCATGTACCAGGGAATCTCTAGCAGCACCCTCCTGGCCAGGCTGTTAGTTGAGGGTTGTAGGACCCTGTCTCAGGTCGAACCATTGGTGACCTGTAGAGTCGGGTCCTGATAGCGGGTTGGTACTACACACCTCACACCTCACTTGACTGGTCACATCATGTCTTATGGACTCGGAGACTCCGTCACGACTCGGAGATGGAGAGTGGCTTGGGCAGCCTTGGCTTGGTCAAAGCCATCTGATTTGGGTTCTCAGGTGATCTCCACTCCGGCTACTGGACGCTTGAGCAACCCAAAGAGGCCGAAAACCGCGATCAGTTGTATTGAATATATACCCCTCCAACAAACCTGGAAGATCATCTTCCAGGACCTCCAAATGAGAGGAAAAGGGTCTTCTCGAGGCCTGCGTTCCACTTGCATGATTGTTTCAGGGGGTGTAGATCTTTGACATCTTCCATCAAGATGGACATGTGTGGCTTTGAATTTGTACCCCGCCTGCGTACTAAACAGCACGTGAGTTTTTTTTAAAATCAGATCCCTTTTTCTGCACGGCTTCATGTGAGTTTCTTTTGTTCGGGTGCGCAGATCTGTTGTTCTCACCTGCCCATCTCCATCTCTTCCATCTCTGCCAGCAAGTCAAAGATGAATTGGTGTGGATGACAATAGGTCAAAACGGGCAATTCGCTTGGATCTCAAGGGGGGGACTGTCGATCTGAAGGTTTTTAGGACTGTTTTGGACATGGATTCGTACATCGCCTTCGCTTCACTTCACCTTCCACCAAGAATACACTTCCTGGAATCATGGAAGTGGAAAAATACCGGTTTGTAGGGGAAAATGATCATCCAAGTGGCCATTTTCCACTTCCATCATGATTCCAGGGAGATCCAGGGAGTATACAATGCTTGGATGTTCAGTTTGCATGGTCATCGGATTCCCGTCGGCCGCCGTTGCCGCGCAGGTTGGCTCCGGAACTGATTTGCCTGGCGCCCAGTGGCTCTGCTTTGCTCGGCTTGCTGTAGCTGCTCTGAGGTCTAAGAAGCCTGTACTCAAGGCCCGTGGGTCTGGATGTGTGTTGTGGTGGTGGTGGTGGTTGTTGTTGTTGTGGCCAAAAATGAACAATGACCAAATATATAAAACAAAATAACAAACAAGGCAAGACACACGATGCAGGTTGAGCACGCCGGTGTGGCACGCATTTCTAGCATTATTTTTTTGCAAAGCAGGCTATGTTGGGTGTATTTTGATCCATTTATGTTGATATACTCGTAAGATGCGACTTTTTCCGTCCCGGAACCCTCTCCGAGGCCTAAGCCTTTGAAGGCTACGTTTTATTTTTGGGGGTGGAGCCTCTCTCTCCCTGAGAGAGGAGAGAATGCCATGGGCAATTGGGGCGTCCTGCGCCCCTGGCCGGATTAAAACAGGGAGACCACCGAAAGACTGGAAGAAGGCAAAGAAACATAAATAAGGCAACACCCATTGGGCCAGGGTGTCTCCTCTTTGATCAGCGTCTTGTACACGAACGAAAATGAAGGCAAAGTGCAAAAATCTGAGGAACCCACTTACCCTAGGGATCCATGATATCTCTCAGCATGTGTCTCGGAAACACCAATCTCAGAAGGTGATTGGTCCAAAACCCTCTGAGCGCGTACTCACCAAGAATTGGATTCCCAAGTCCGTGCTGGGGCAACCCTGGGACCCATCAGAAGGTATCACAATTGAAATTGTTTGGGCACACAGGAGATGGCAGTGTTGCATGTCGTTTAGGCCTTTAAACTACTTAGTTCAAGGCTAATGCAAAAATATTAAATATAATCCGCCGGGTGATTCCATGAGCTTAATTGCACTTCCTCTCAGACACAAAGGGGCGAGGCATTCTAGAAACTCATGGACCCGGGGCGGGAGTCCCACAGTTGTAGGGAACATGGGCTCTGGGTCAAAAGCTGAAGTGCCATTCATGATGAGTTCTGTGTGTGCGCTGTACTTTCCATTGCATGGGCATGTGTGTACATGGAATCATGATGAATCATGTATATCATATTATAGCATATATAAAAAAGAAATATATATATATACATTTTGACATTATGTATATTGTATTACAGTAACCCATATGTATATATATATATATATGAGTGAGCTCTACTCATAAGTATTCCCTTCCACGAAGTCGGGCAACGTCTTCGGCGACCTTGAAGCCGACCGTCGGTGTCAGGCTGAAGCCGAGGGCACCGACGGCGGTGCCGAAGGCGGCGAGTCGGCGGCGCGCCATCGATTTTTGTCTGAAAGACATGCAGAAAATCTGTCTTCTTCAAGAAAAGGGTACTATTGTTTATCCCTCTGAAGAGTATCCCTTTGTCTTCTTCTCTGAATAGATTGGTGTCCCACATGGTTTGAATGAATCTGTAGATATCTGTAGAGTCTGTAAGACACAGAAATGAAGCTGGTAAAGAAAAGCTGAGAAATGGAACAACTGAAGCCTGGAAGACATGAATCCAACTGTGTTGTCCTTTTTTGTCTGGAGAAACATGTGGATGTGCAATCTTAATTTGAACATGATTGAAACATAGTATGGCTATGACACAAGAAAACAACTCAATGCTGAAAGCTTCACCATGCGGTTTCTCACAGTTTTGGACCGACCACGCTCGTTGTGAGGCAGAATGAATGGCCGGATTGGGCACAAGAAGGTTCTAAAGAGGATCAACATCCAGGAGATGCCGAAAACGGGAAGGTTCCCCCCGAACACCCCCTGCGCGTTTGGTTGGTTTTCTGTGGTGGGCGTCCAAAACCACACCCAAGTGTGGACAGTAGCCGTCAACGTTGCGGGGGCTGGTGGCATACTACTGTTGCGGTTCAGGGTTGATGTTTGTTGATTTGTGCCGCCCTGTAGAGCCTAAAACTCATCATGGTTCCTGTGATAACTGCCTCTTAGCAACCTTCATTCTCCAGAAGAAGTACTGTATATATATATATATATGGAAAAATACCACCATAGTGGCCCCCTCTGGTTTGTCACCGTTCCGTCACGCCGGAACGCTCTTCATCAGGAGGAATTCGGGCAGGTGCCGTGCGAGATCACCACTGCGATGATCAGGAGCGAGCGAGGATGACACGAACATGGCTGTCCTGTGAGGTCTGTTTGACCCACAAGGAAGCTACTAGTAACAAGTGCCACGCTAGTAGTAACAGGTGCCTTACTACTAGTAACAAGAAGCTACTAGGAACAAGTGCCTTACTATGTGGAGCGCCGGTGGTGCCCATGCCCATAGTGCATAGCAAAGGACCTTAAAGGGGGTGGTATATGGCGGTGCAATGTGGGAGTTCCATGGGTTGCAGGTGGGTGATGTGTCGTGACCAGGGGTGTTTGGGGTGGTTTGGGAAAGGACCACTGAGGGCTCACGGCATAAATCCCAATGGAAGAACTGGCACCCAGCAGCACTCCTGCAGGGCTGTTTTGACCCTACCCACGCCCAGGCGTGGGCCCAACCAGCCAGACTGCTGTGTGCAGCATTGCTGTGGCGGTGCAGTCGTGCGCACTCGCCAGGAACGTCCCAAATCAGCTGAATCGAAAACAATTCGTGGAGCGGTTGGATCAGCTGGGCTTTCATGGGATGTCTCTTGGTTGGATCCTTGCAGACCAGCGGGGTCTCCCTAGACGACCTTGTTTGGAACCTGCCATGTTCGGACTGTTGCCGCCCCAGTTGGGGAAAGGGGTCTGTCTGGGGCGGCAGTCCGAACTGGCAGTCCCAGACAGGTCGTGTCTGGGAATTGACATCTCCCTTTCGACTCCGTGTGGCAAAAGGAACGTGACGCGTTGGACGGGCATGGGGCCTGTTCCGAACGCCCCCTGAAGCAGCCTCTGAATCACCCAGCAACCAAACATGGCGGCGACCAGAAGAGTTTTGGACAGATTCTCCTCTGCCAGGGTGTTCTATGAGTTTCGATGTGAGTTCGTTGGGAATCATCCCCTCTTTTTTTTGACGCTTCCATGAAAGGTATACGGTATACGGCATCTTTTGGAAACCACGGCAGTTTGAACTCTCGGAGTGACCGACCAGCACCTCCCCGATTCCGGCTGGTCTTCTGGAGCTAAGATCTCCGGTCAGCACCCGGGTATAACACACGGATGGATCGGGTGCAGTAGCGATAGGTTGACTGATTGAATGCATCGGTTGACTGATTGAATCAGAATCAGAATCCAATTGTTTGTTGCTCAACATGTTTCCAAACAAACAACGGTGGTTTTTCAATTTGTCCGATCTTGTTTCTCTGAAAAAAGTATACTTTGCCGGTATTGCCCAAGCAAGGTTGTCGATAGTCGCTGCCCGTCGCTGCGCAATCTACAAAAACAAGTTTGCAAACACATTGACAAATCCATTCTCAAAGGGAATCTGGCCGAATATGTTTGACTAGTGACTTTCTCTCTTTTCGTTCTTCTTGCTTCCAGAGTGGTTTGGCATTTTTTTCTTTATCAAAGCTATTCTCTACCAGGAAGGTGTATGCATGTGTACTCGATTCAAAACACATTCGCCACTTGCTGGGTAGACGGTCTTAGACTGTAAAACCACGTAGGGGGCCCCATGCAAAGTATGTTGTGCCAAAACGCTTTGTTCTTCCGCCGACCGTGACCGTGACCCACCAACGGGCGCAGAAGTCCAATCCCACAGAAGTCACGGCTTTTCAGGTATGACTTTGTATATGTTCCGCTGCTTGGCCTGCACGTTGTTGTGCTGCACGAGTCACGTGCCGCACACTGTGCAGGTGAGAAAAGCACACCGGTGCCATTGGTTGGTTTGTGAAGCGGGGCATCGCCAAATCTAGAGAATCCCAAAGAGGTTAGAATATGCTCACATTGCCCCCATGATCCACCTTTGGGCAGGGCCGCAGAAAACAGGTGTAGGTAGATCATGGGGGGGGTCCTCTATATAAGTATATTATCATATATATCTATATATATATAATATATCGTAAATATGGACATGTGTGTCCCCCCAGAAGTCCTGTCGCCGTTGTTGATGGGACACTTCTCCGAGACAGCGGAGTTCGTCTCCGCTCTCCGCCGGTGGGAGGGCTCAGAGGCAGACCGACGGACTGCAAGCGATTTCAACCGTTGTCCGACTGCATGCGCTTGGCTGGTGGTTTTGTAGTTGTAGGGGATGCTCTCGGTCAACCAATATACCAGACCGACCTTCGCTTCCCTTTTTAGGACATCAGTGATTTCAACGATTCACTATGCAGACCAGCGGTTTTTGCATGTTTTTGCTATAGATTTGACACTCCGCTATTCTCCGAAACCAAACGTTGCCTCCGGAAATCGAGCGAACCGAAGGATCCCAGAACCGGGGGGGGGGTAGGACATCCTCCACCGGGTGGTTAGACTGGGACACGTTGATGATGCAGCATTTGCACTTGTAGATTCAGAGGTTCGATGGCACATGTCCAAGTTTGGTGCTTCACAGGTCCATCTGTCTTTCAGACATCTTGGGCTGGATCTTGGGCCATCGAAGCAAACCACAGTGACGTCGTACATTCGGTACAGCTTTCCATTGGGTCAGAGATACAATTGGTGTTTTCCCAGCGAAACCGCCTCAGATCCCCCAACCAAAAACTGCCACACCCACATCGATCCATCGACGCTGAGGATCGATCGAGCGACGCGCATGAATGTGGGCTATGCATTCGTGAACTTTGTGAATCCTGATTCCTTCAGGCGGCTGAACTGGATCTTTTCCGTCCAGTCGCGTGTTCCTAGCAGACGCCGTCCGACGACTGTATCAAAGGCATGCATTCAAAAGCAACATGCAAATTGATCCATGCCAGCGAAAGTTGCGCCCCACAAAACGCGATGGATCTTGGTGAAATCAATGGTTTGACGCGCCACACACCACAACTGTGTGCCACGATGGATCTTGCCGCGCACCCTGCAGGCTGTGTCAGAGTAAATTGCAGGGCAAGAAGTTCCTGGAGAAGGATGGGATTGGCACCATGCAGTGCATGTGTCATTCTACTTGTGCGAGTACTTGTGCGATAAGATAGCTGTCTTACAAAGGATTGCATAAGATTTTATTCCCCACCTGTCAGGTGACCAGGTGAGGGTTGTTAGATTTTATGTAAGCTCCATCTCCTTCTCCTTCTCGTCCTGCTTCGCCAGACCTCAACCACGATCATCCGCGCCCAGTGTTCCCCGCCGGACCTCAACACACAATTACCAACAGAACAACAAACGCACAACACAAACACAACCAGAAACACACAACCACAAACACACAACCACAAACACACAACCACAAACACAATCAGAAACACACAATCACAAGCACACAATCACAAACACACAACCACAAACACAATCAGAAACACACAATCACAAACACACAATCACAAACACA